TGTACAGAGAACAGAGTTTTGCTCCCCCTCCTCAAACCCTCTTAAACATAAAACTTGCAGATGGACTCCTCTGCTTCTGCTAAATTACAGAAATGATTTGTAAGCATTCAAGCGTTACCTTCTTTCTTGTTGCTGATCTGCTAATTACGCATTCTGAAACCTAGAAAGTTCCAGCCCCAGAAAGCTCCTACTTGCCAGACAGGCGCTTCTGTGGAAGCCTGCATTGGGAACTACATTTGGGAGATGGCTTTTAAGAGGACAGATTTCGATGTGCAATGGCTGGAAGTTTCTGGTGACACGCTGAGCAGACTCATCTCCCGGACCTCCCGGGGATGAAATCTGTGCACCAGCAGAAAGGAGGGCGGGCGATGTCTCGCTCCCCGGAGCCTGGTTGAAAGGCTCCTAGCCATGGGACTTTTGAGAGGTGGCCTCTTCACCAGCGCGATGCTGGGGAATTGAGGTGCTTCTCCGTCCTGACGGTCCTCCTGCTGTGTGTCCATATGGAACTAGTGACCCTGACCAGGACAAGCGCTGGAGATCGAGCGGTTTAAACGGAGCTACAGCGAGGTCGCAAGACCAATTATGAACTGTGAGTCAGATTAGAGCGTAATTGACATTTTAAAAAGAAAGCTCCCACCCCAAGGACTAGGAAAGAAAGCGAGCGGGGGAGGGGGTCCCTCCCAAGCGCATGAATTTAAATGCAAGACCCAAGGTAAGAAGAATAATCTGCCTGGGGAACTGGTAATGAGATTCTCGAAGAGGCACGTGAGGGATTCTATCCTGAGAGCAACAGCTGGGACACCCTTGAAAATTGGGGACAGTATCATCAGGATTCTGTAAGACATTCCATTTGAAATAAGACAAAGGAGAAAGAAATATAAAGATTTAATTCTTTTTCTTCAAACAAATGCAGTTAGCTACAGGTGGTTATATCCATAAGTCGTAACCTTCAAACTTCAGGATAAAAAAGAAAAGATTGACTTTGTTTCCAAAGCACGGGACTTTTTGAGAATCCAGTTGGGTGAGCCAGCGGAGGTGGATAAAGAGGAGAAGGACAGTAAGTCCAGTGGCGAGCTGGACTCGGGATCTTCTGGAGAAGACTGTCTTTCTGAAAAAGGGACGGCTGTCCCTAAAAGACAAGAAAAGAAAAAATGAAGGCTGAAGGACTCTGAATTGTGCCTTTGAAAATATGGTTTTTAATAATGGGATGCTCTAGTGTTTCTCTCTAACAGTTAAATTTAAGTGTTAAAAGATATTTTAGCATGTCTGACTAAGTTCAAAAGATATCAGCAATTTAAGGAATAATTGTGTACTTAACCTGTTTTAATTATCTCCTTCTCTTGGGATTTTAGTTAGTAGTGGGTATATCTACTTTCTCCTTAATTGTAGTTCCATTCCCTTATTTCTTTGTAGTTTGTAGTCCAATTAAAAAAGCAATAAAAAATCCCCTCCGGGGGGGGGGGGGGGGGCAAAAAAAAAAAGACTTCATGCTGACTTTCATTCCATGCCTATCCTCAGTTGCTGGAGATTAAAATACAAAAGTTACTGTAAAGTGTGCTACAAAACGTTTGAATTAAGTAGTATGGGGATTAGAGTTGTGCTGTCTCATGCACAAAGACCATTATACCAGAAGTACCTGTTAAATCAAGTCAACAGTCCATTGCAATGTGTTTTGGTTCAAAACCAAGTAAAAATTCAGGTAGTAAAAGCACAGAGGAGGAAGAGAAAAGATCTGAAAACAGTGAAAAACACATCCAAAGTGATGAAAAATGCAAAGTATTATGCTACACAAACCAGTATGGTTGCTTATGTAATCAAAGACTATGTTAGGATAGCAGAGTGCCTGTTGACTTTGCAGTTAGTGATGAAGAACATTTATTTTAATTCTTGCAACAACATCAATGAGTTATTCAAGCAGAAGTTCTCAGGTAGCCAAATAGCTCAACAGTTTCCTCTTGGAAAAACAAAAGCAAAGTTTGTTGTAGGCTTTGGCTTGGCATCATTCTTCTCTGACCTACTGAAACAACTGAAGCAGTGCCATACAATTGTTTGTTTTGATGAATCTTTGAATAAGTTGTTCAAAAGGCTAAGATGGATTTAGTGGTTCATTTTTACTATGAATGCTGCCAAAAAGTTTCCACATGGTACCTGCTGCTGAAGACCTCCTTCAGAAGTTTAAAGAAGCCATGTCCATTGCAAAATGACTACCGGTATCTACGGATGGGCCAAATGTAAGTCACCCTTTTCTGAAAAAATTCAAAGAAGAAATGAAAACCAATTCTGACTGAATTGATTAACTTTAGAATGTGTAGCTTCCATGTAGTATGTGGTCTTTTAAAACAGGATTGCATGCTGTGAAATGGGACCTGAATTCAATTTTGCACAACATATATGATCTATTCAGATTCTCCACCTAAGTGAGCACCATACACTGCTATGACAGGAAGCATACAATTTCCCTGGAATGTTTGCTCCACTAGGTGGTTAGAGAATGTTACATAGGGGTATCACTGTTTTTGACAATTTCAAGAAGTACATGGAAGAAGCAAAGCTCCCTAACAGTAAACCTGAAAGTTGCATAAAATCTGTCATTCAAGATCCATTAATGAAGTGTAAAAGGCTTTCATGAAAACAGTTGCTGGAGATTGTGAGCCATTTCTATAAAGGTTATTTCTACAAATGTATCAAAACCATTCACTCTTTTTTTTTATGAAGCGTTTCATGAGCTAATCAAGAAGCCATTGCATAAAATCAGAAAAGCTGCAAAAAGTGTCATTTGGTTTGCAGTTGTTAACAGTTGACATGAAATTGTCTCAGAACTGGCTTGACAGGAGCAAGCTCAAAATTGGCTTTGCAGCAAAGAAGCTCTTAAAAGAGAAAGTAAACTAAATGAATTTCAGGTGATTGAGTTTTACCTAGAATGTTAAAACATGGTAGTAACAGTTGCTGAAAGATGGTTGAGAGAAGTCCTTTGAAGTTCAAAATGGCTCATCGCTTAAATTCTACTATCATTATACAGAAAGCAAATGGTGGAATCACCAGAGTAGGTAAAGTACAGGAACTTCTACATGCAGCAGATCGAATCAATGACACAACAACTAAAAAAAAGCAACAATACGCTGCTTTAACTACAGCTGCCCACAATAAATCAGGGCTCAGTTTCAAGCATGCATGGTAAAACATGAGGTTGGACTGGACACATTTGACAGTGGCATTTTGATGGCCAACAAGAATTTTTCAGTCCTGTGTAATGTTGCCAAGCTGTGCTTTATCCTGTCTCATGGTAATGCTTCAGTTGAAAGTGGATTTTCAGTGAATAAGTTAATGTTAATAGAGAATTTGCATGAAGAAACTCTTGTTTGTCAAGACCAGGTTTATGATGTTGTCCTGAGTTCTGGAGGACTTAAATCTATTGTAATTGATAGGAGTATGTTCCAATCAGTCAGGCATGCTCACACACATCACACAGAGTACCTGGAGGTTAAATGCCATAAGCATCAAGATGAAACTGAAAAAAGAAGAGGAAAAAATTAAACACTTTGAAAATGCTAAAAAAAAGACTGAGAAGCCAAAATGGAAGAAGCTGTCCATCAGAAAATAAGGGAGTTGCAAAGCTGTGGAAGTGATAGCTTTATATCATTATTTGATCTTTTTAAAAAAAACCTCTCATATTGTGGCTTCAGTTAAGCCATTTGGCAGACTGCACTTTTAAAAGCTTAGAAGTGCTGTGTAAACAGATATACAGGACTGTGAAGGGTTAATTCTTCAGAGCCGGGGAGCCTTGAGTGACCGGCCGTTCCAAGAGATCTGATAGGTTAGCATCAGCTGAGCAGAGAAAAACTTCTGAACTGGATGCTGAGGAGAATTCAGTCAGATGTCTGCCTTGATTGAGTTGAGTACTGACAGTTTTGGAATTTAGCCTTAGCAAAGAGCAGTTTAACACAGACAGGAGAATTGGGGGAAAGTTGGCAAGGAAGTTTGGGAAGTGGGTGAAGACTCCCATCGGGCCAAGAAAAGGGGATAGATCTTCTAGAGAGAGAGAAAAATTTCCTACCCAGTCAAACAGGGAGTTAGCTCTGAAGATCTCTGGTCTGGTGTGGTTACAAACTGCCTGTAGAGTCAGTTTAAAAACTCAAGACGGATACTGGTGTGTCAAGAGAAGGGATTTGGGTACTCAAAAAAGTGTACCAAAACAGTTAGAGAATACTCAAAGAATGTACTGAGGTGTTTCAGGAAAACACTGGAACAAAAGCCTCTCAACTCTGAATAGCTTAAGAAACTCTCATTAATCTGAAACATAAGAACTAAAGTCTCTGCATGTACTGGTTTTACCTCAGAAATTTTACTCCTGATTTCACCTGACCTTTCCCTTCTATGTTGAATAAAATATTTTGTTAATTTGGAATATAAAAACTTCTCGAGTGCCATTTAAGTTGTAAAAGTTAAAGGGGGCTCCCATTCCTTCTATTAGTTTCCTGGGCTGAGCCAACAGCCAACATATGGTACTGTGACAGGGTGGGACAGCTAGAGTTCTTCAGCAAAGAAGAAAACACATTACTAAGGTGACTCATTCAGTCAAGGGAAAGAAAAACAGAGGGAAAATCTTTTCTCTAAGGGAGGAAAGTGGATGGGACAGTCATACAATTTTTTTAATTAATAATTGAAATCAATTTTATATACTTTTAGTGTAGTTTTGAAACAAGAATAAAAATGTTATAGTTTGTTAATGTTTAGAGGTTATGTGTTTCGAAGTTCCGTCTTCATGTAACTTTAGTGCAGTTTCACAACAGATGTATTCAGTTAACATTCAGTGTTTTAAAAAGTTCATATTGATGCTCTTATCCTGACAAATGTTTTTGCATTTCACTACTTGCGTATTTTAAAACCATTTAATAAAACCTTTATTTAATGTAATATAATCTATGAATTTTAAAACTTGGAGCTGTTTTTGAATGGTGGTCAGGGAAATCAACAGAAGTTGGTCAGGGAAATGGAAAATGAAATTTTAGTGGCAACGCTATACAACAGAGGCAGCTGTTTCCAAATTTCCCCACAGACACCAAAGTTATGCCTTTTGGGCTTTTTTTGAAGCACCTCCTGCTCCAGTGAGATGGAAGAAAGACAGAATTGGGTGGGTTTTTTGTGTTTGTTTTTCCTTTAGTGAAAAGTAGGCACCAGGGTACTTTAACAGATGACACATCGGGAATCACTTATTTAATCAAATGTCTTTTTGTTCCAGCACTTAGTGAGCCACACAGGTCTTTATAAGGCGGAGAACAAAAAAATAATAGGGTAATTCTTACCTTAATGAAGCTGGGGCCACATTGGTCTGCAGAAAAAATTGAAAAGCAGAAGTTGCACAAAACCCAATTGAACAGTTTTGGAGAACTCAAAAGCTTGCAGACTGTTTTGTTATTTTAGTTGGTTCACATAAAAGGGATTACACAATTTTTGGCTGTGCAACTTTTTTATAGACCAGTGTCCTACAGTTAGAAAAGATTTCAATCTCTTTCTGCTTTATCATCAACTCGAGATGTTTATTTGAATGTTGATACTATAAGCTATTTCGCTTTTTTGTGATGCATCTTCTCATGTAAGGCAAACTTCATTTATCCCCCTCTTAAGGAAACAGGACACTTAAGCTATGCTTGTCCTAAAAACACGCTAGGAGAACGTGAGCCACCCAAAAAGAAAGAAAAGAAGAAGAGGAAGAAAGCTATTGAGGCAGAAGAAGAAATGTAAGTGCACTGATAACATACAAGCAGCTTTTTTACTCATTCTTCTAAATGCCTGCAGGTTAAGATACATATGGCTTGGTTTGTTTGTTCTTCTTTCTGTACTACTCAGTGAGGACCTGGAAGAAAGTGAAGATGAAGGAGAAGACCCTGCCCTTGATAGCCTCAGCCAAGCTATAGCTTTCCAGGTACCTAAATACATATTCTGCTTTTGCATAATGGCTGTCATTATTTTGTTTTTAAAGCAAAGGAAGCGCAGAGATCCAGAATTTACAGCAGAGAATTGTTCTGCCACTTCCTATTTGGGATTTTTATTCCTGCCATTCTCTAAGCCAAACTTTTGCCCCAATCCAACAAAAGTACTGTCTATGTAAAACGAAGGTGCCTGGGAATGCACATAACAGTTCACCTGGCAGGGCATAAGAACATAAGAACATAAGAACATAAGAGACGCCAATGTTGGATCAGGCCAAAGGCCCATCCAGTCCAACACTCTGTGTCACACAGTGGCCAGAAATACCAGTGCCATCAGGAGGTCCAGCAGTGGGGCCAGGACATTAGAAGCCCTCCCACTGTTGACCCCCCCCCAAGCACCAAGAAGACAGAGCATCACTTGCCCCAGAGCCCCTAGCTATACCTTGTGGCTAATAGCCACTGATGGACCTCTGCTCCATATGCTTATCTAATTCCCTTTTGAAGCCGTCCATGCTTGTAGCACCCACCACTTCCTGTGGCAGTGAATTCCATGTGTTAATCACTCTTTGGGTGAAGAAGTACTTCCTTTTATCCGTTCTAACCCGACCGCTCTGCAGTTTCATGGAGTGCCCACGAGTTCTTGTATTGTGAGAAAGGGAGAAAAGTACCTCTTTCTTTACCTGCTCTTTCCCATGCATAATCTTATAAACCTCGATCATGTCACCCCTCAGTCGTCTTTTCTCCAAGCTAAAGAGCCCTAAGCGCTTTAACCTTTCCTCATAGGGAAAGTGTTCCAACCCTTTTATCATTCGAGTTGCCCTTTTCTGCACTTTTTCCAAAGCTATAATATCCTTTTTAAGGTGTGGTGCCCAGAACTGCACACAGTATTCCAAATGAGGTCTCACCATTGATTTATATAGGGGCATTATTATATTGGCTGATCTGTTTTCAATACCCTTCCTAATAATCCCCAGCATAGCATTGGCCTTCTTTATTGCAGTCACACACTGTCTCGACATTTTCAGTGAGTTATCCACTACAACTCCAAGATCTCTCTCTTGCTCAGTCTCTGCCAGTTCAGACCCCATCAATGTGTATTTATATTTAGGATTTTTGGCTCCAATGTGCATCACCTTGCACTTGGCCACATTGAACCCCATTTGCCATGTTGACGCCCACTCGCCCATCCTTGACAGATCCCCTTGGAGTGCCTCACAATCCTCACTGGTTTTCACCACCCTGAACAACTTTGTATCATCCGCAAATTTAGCCACTTCACTGCTTACTCCCATCTCCAAATCATTAATGAACAAGTTAAAAAGCAGTGGACCAAGTACTGATCCCTGCGGTACCCCACTGCTTACCACCCTCCACTGAGAAAATTGCCCACCTACACTCACTCTCTGTTTTCTATGAACTAGCCAGTTTTTGATCCATAAAAGGACTTGTCCTTCTATCCCATGATTTTTGAGCTTACTTAGGAGCCTTTGATGAGGAACTTTATCAAAAGCTTTCTGGAAGTCAAGGTAAATAATATCTATTGGATCCCCCTTGTCCACATGTTTGTTCACCCCCTCAAAGAACACTAACAGGTTAGTGAGACAAGATCTTCCCTTACAGAAACCGTGCTGAGTCTGCCTCAATAGGTTTTGTTCATCTATGTGCCTACTAATTCTTTCCTTAATAATGGTTTCCACCAATTTACCCGGTATCGACGTCAGACTGACTGGCCTGTAATTTCCCGGATCTCCTCTGGAACCCTTTTTAAAGATGGGAGTGACATTAGCTACCTTCCAATCCTCAGGAATGGAGGCAGATTTTAAGGAAAGATTACATATCTTTGTCAGGAGATCTACAAGTTCACATTTGAGTTCTTTCAGAACTCTCGGATGTATGCCATCTGGGCCTGGTGATTTTTCAGTTTTTAAGTTGTCTATCAGTTTTAGGACCTCCTCTCTCGTCACCTCAATCTGACTCAGGTCTTTCAACACCCCTCCTGAAATCAGTGGTTCTGGAGTGGGCAAGCACTTCTCATCTTCCACAGTGAAGACGGAGGCAAAAAATGCATTTAGCTTCTCAGCCATTTCCCTATCATCCTTCAATACTCCTTTTACCCCTTGGTCGTCCAAGGGCCCCACTGCCTCCCTGGCTGGTTTCCTGTTTCTAATGTATTTGAAGAAAGTTTTATTGTTGGTTTTTACGTTTTTTGCTATATGCTCCTCATATTCCCTTTTTGCCTGCCTGACCTCAGACTTGCATTTTATTTGCCATAGCCTGTGTTCCGTTTTATCAGCCTCACTGTGACTAGCTTTCCACTGCTTAAAGGAATTCTTTTTACTTTTTACAGCCTCCATTACTCTGTTTGTTAACCATGCAGGCTTTTTCCTATACCTGTTTGTGCCTTTCCTAACCTGCGGAATATATATTTTTTGAGCTTCTAGGATCGTAGTTTTAAATAGATCCCAAGCTTCCCCAATTGTTTTGACCCTTTCTACTTTTCCTTTCAGTTTCCTCCCCACGTGTCCCCTCATATCAGAGAAATTACCCCTTTTAAAGTTAAAAATGGTTGTGTGAGTCTTTTTGGCCAATTCTCTATTTGTACAAATGATGAACTCAACAACATTATGATCACTGTTTCCAAGCGGTGCAATCACTTTTACATCTCTCACCAGGTCTTGAGTGTTACTTAGGACCAAATCAAGGATCGCCTCTCCCCTGGTAGGTTCCGTGACCATCTGCTCCATAGCACAGTCATTTAGAGTGTCTAGAAACTCAATCTCTTTTTCCCGGCTAGAACACATATTGACCCAATCAATGTGTGGGTAGTTAAAATCACCTATTATTACACAGTGTTTTTGTCTAGTTGCTATCTTTAAGGCATTCATCATTTTATAATCCTCCTCTATCTTTTGATCTGGTGGGCGATAACAAACTCCCAGTGTTAAGTTTCCTTTTGGCCCCCCTATTTCAACCCATAGAACTTCCAGAAGCGAATCCAATTCACTTAGCCTCTCAATCTTTCTAGACTTTATACCCTCTCTGACATACAGAGCTACCCCACCTCCAACCCTTCCCCCCCTATCCTTCCGATATAATATATAACCGGGAATCACTGTGTCCCACTGATTTTCCTCATCCCACCAAGTTTCAGAAATACCCACAATGTCTATTTTTCCCTCCGACACCAAGCACTCCAACTCCCCGATTTTACCTCGGACACTTCTAGCATTTGTATAGAAACAGCTGTAATTTCCCTTACAAGTTAAGCCTGCATCCTTCCTCTTGCTATCTCGAGTCGTTGTCCGGCAGTCCATGTCACCAGCCATGGCCTCTGTGGACAATTTCAATCCACCTCCCTGTAGAAAAGCAACCGGTACCCCCTCACCTCTCTCAGATGAGCCAACCCGAACCAGAGACTTTTCATCTCCTGTCGGCTTTCCCCCAATATTCAGTTTAAAAGCTGCTCTGCCACCTTTTTGATTTTAAGTGCCAGCAGCCTGGTTCCTTCTCGGGACAAGTGGAGACCGTCTCGCCTGTACAGCTCCCTCTTGTTCCAAAAAGTATCCCAGTGCCTAACAAACCTGAACCCTTCCCCCCTACACCATCGTCTCATCCACGCATTGAGACTCCTGATCTCTGCCTGTCTCTCCGGCCCTGCGCGTGGAACAGGTAACACTTCTGAGAAGGCTACCTTGGAGGTCCTGGACCTAAGTTTCCTGCCCAGCAGCCTAAATTTCTCCTCCAGGACCTCACGACTGCATTTCCCCACATCGTTGGTGCCGACATGCACCACGACCACTGGCTCCTCCCCAGCACTATCTACCAGCCTATCTAAAACACGCGTAATGTCCGCTACCTTCGCACCAGGCAGGCAAGTCACCATACGGTCAGTACGCGGGTTCGCCACCCAGCTGTCTACCTGCCTAAGGATCGAATCACCCACTACCAAGAGCCCCCCTCCCACCCTGCTCAGGGATGGTTCCTTGGTGCAAAAGGAGAGCCGCTCACCAGCTGGGGAAGAGGTCCCTTCTGAGGGCACATTCCCCTTATCCTCAGCATGGTGCCCTGTTTCCCCTAGACCCTCATGCTCCCTGACAGCAGCGGGGCTGCCAGATCCAGAGTGGGACGTAGCTAACAAGTCCCCGAGAGTCTTTTCTGTGTGCCTAGCTGACTGTCTCTGCTTCTCCAGGTCAGCCACCTTGGCCTCAAGGGAGCACACACGTTCCCTGAGAACCAGGAGCTCCTTGCACCGAGGACACACCCAAGACTTCTGCCCAGTGGGCAGATAGTCATACATGTGACACTCCGTGCAAAACACTGGATAGCCCCCAACCCCCTGCTGGCATTCTGGCTTCATAATTCTTTTAAAATAAATAAATAAAATCCCCCTTTTAAACCCTTGGTATTTATGCGGGTTTTGTTATCAAGTCAAATTATTTTACGGGAAAGACAAAGAGCCTAGGGCCTTGTCTTTCTGGCTCTTTTTGGGCTTCTTACAGAGCCCCTATTGAATTTGAATAGCTGCTGCCTGACCTCTGCTGGGGGAGGCCTCTATTTAAGGAAGCACCTTGCCAGAGGCATGAGCCTCTGGCATGAGCCGAAGGGCTTGCAACTGGGTCTCCCAGATCCTAGTGCAGCACTCGTGTTATTATACTGATTTGGCTCTCTGAGTCAGGCTATTAGTCTGTCAAGTTTAGTATTTTCTACTCTGACTGGCAGTGGCTCACCAGAGTCTCAAGTAGAGGTCTTTCATGTCACCAACTACAAGACCCTTTTAATTGGAGGTAGCAGAGATTGAACCCAGTGGATGCTCTGCCACTTTAACCATATCCCTTCCCTTCAGGGAGTGGTAGTGCTGTCTACCTGCACAACAGAATCTTTGGACCCAAGCCATTATTATC